TATATATATATATATATATATATATATATATAATTGAGCTGGTCGAAAGCAACAGTAATCACCCATAAATTGGAAACTAAAAGCAAATGATCATATTACAAACATTGTTTTTAAACAAAGTTTTAGACTTTAGTATTATACATATCATTTTCCTGTTAGACGTTAGAAAAATCAATTTTTTTGTATTTTCTTAAAGTATATGTATGTGAAAAGTAAACAGAAATTTATTTAATTTTGTAAAATTAATTTAATATTAGTTATAAATGTTTGAAGAACTCAGCTTGCAATGGCATCAAAATGATCGTATCGTAAAGACACGATACGATAGATATACATATTTTCTCTTCTAAAATGATTCATTGTCTAATTGTAAGTCTCCTGTTTTAAAAAAGGAAACCATCTGTCGGGAGATTACGTTTATGCGTGCACAACGCGTAGAGAAAAGGGGGAAATGCAAGAATCGAGCAGACGAGCGATATATTATTATATCTTTATTAACTTATATATTATTATATCTTTTTATATTATTAATTTCTTTTGTTCCTTTATAATAAACTACATCACGGACTCGAGTTTTTTTCTTGATATATCGCATCCATCGCAACGCAATTCATTAAAAACAAAAAATAATATGTAAATTGTAATGCATAGGTGAAAATAGAATTCTCCTTTGAAAATATCTCTTTAGAAATCTCATTTTTTTAAATTACTGACATAATATTCGAAATTTTATTCCGATTGACATAAAATTTTGAAAGAACCTTCACCATATATACTGTTACTGCATAAACAAAAACTTTTAAAATCCATTGTTCTTTTTCATTTTTAATAACTAAGATTTTTATTTTATTTTGGTTCATAGCTGCATCCATTGTTCAAAATGCTTTTTGTTTTAAACTAGACGAAATCGTAACAGCCAATAGGACGCTTATTTTTAAAACAGCTTTATGAAACTAGACATTCATATTTTGATTATTTTCAAAATGTTTCAAATACTTAATAAAAATATTTCTTTTAAAATAATTTCAAAACATAAAAATACAACTCTTATGTAAATCGCTATTTTTTGAAATATCTTAATATTCTATAATATTATATTATTAGAACAAAATATCTGCTAGTAATTAGAAATTCATCTGTTACTGTTTTAAAAATATTAAAATATTCGGAAAATTGTGGTTCATATAAACAAGACTCTAAAAACTACTAAAAAATGTATTATAAATCTTAACAAGAGTTCACGAGCATAAATATTTAATAGTTTTTACAAGAATAGTAGATTACACAATAAATTTCCGTACAACCTTTGCTGTAATATTCTGGCAATAAAGATATGCCAATAAAAAATATAGATCTTTAATATTTTACAAATTCAAATAAAATATCAATATTTGCCAAGATCGATTTAACAATGACATATTATCATGTACCTTATTTTGTGCAGTGTACAAGAAACAGTACAACATACAAGAAAAGTATAAAAGCCGATGAAATCACATATGTATAACTATATATTATATCGATGTGTATTCTATGTGTATAAGAAAAAAAGTTCGTCTCATTTATTTTACGAAAAGTAAACTATTGTAAAGGAATGTATTTATTTCAACTTTACATATCGTTGTGGAAGGAAAAGTAATTGTTTATAACATTATTGATAATTATTTTTAATTATCCAAAATTATTTTTCATTACTTGAAAATTATTCGTAACTATTCAAAAATTATTTATAATTTTTCATACAACACTTAAGTAGAATATGTACGTATATATTATGATTAAATGGCAATCAAATTTTGCATCAAATTTCATCGTTAACTATGCAAATATGATTCTTCTCGCCGTTATAAGTGAAATATATATATTTTTCATACGAAGCCATTGAACATATTTGTTTCGGACGTTCAGTTCCGTGAAAACCTATTAGTCAAAAACAAATATGTTCTTCTTCGTAAGATAAACACGAATAGCTATTTTCCATGAAGTAAAATTTAATAAATGTGCGAAATCAGGGAGCTTACTTAGGTAGTAATGTTGATAGCATATCAAGACGAATATTAATTATTCAGGAATTTTCCGATATAAGTGATTGTATGACTAACATCTACATAAATGATAAATGATAAAAATCGTGGAAACATTTAACTATTGTTCTAAAAAATGCTGGTGATATTTGAATATTAGGTTCATTAGTAACACGAATATATATTTTAAAAATCAATACATAATTTCAATTATGTGTCATGAATAAATGAATGTACAATGCCAATGTAAACATGTATCGTCGCTTTCACACATTGTCCATACAAAAATTTACGATCTGCTGCAATCGAACGAGTTTTATAACGCAAACATGAGTTAAACGAGCCTATTTGCAATAATCACACATGAGGGAGCATTGCTTGTGCATACCAAGCCTAAAACATTTTCGAAAAAGATCCGAAGCCATTGAGTTTTAGATAATTTAATAAATAAAAAATCAGGAGTTCTTGAAATTTTATACAATATCTATTTGCTCATGTTTCAAAATAACATAGTCAAATTATTGTATGTTTTTTTGCAATATATCTCACTTTTAATCATTTCACTATATCATTCGAACGAGATATGTATTTTTTTTTTATTAAGATGAGAGTTATATTTCAAGGAAAACTCAATATACGAAACTTAATAACAGAATTAAAAAGTTATCTGATAAAACGTGTATTACATAAAAAACATAATTTATGTAAAAATACTAGTCATTTTTTGTTGTGTTGTATCATATTAAAAAAAAAATGAACAAAATTGTTTCATAAGAACATATCTTTCATTTATAATCAGCTATAAGAACATCAATTTCTTTGGAATTGATTTTTCTTTGAAATAGAACTCTCATTCGTAGTTGTGAACCGGTTATATATTAATGATATCACAGGATAATTCGTCCATGATTGTTATGTGTCTGTTATGGCTGTTATTTGAAAGAAAAAATCGAAAATGAACTTAATTTATATAAAAGTGGGAAAAAAGTTTAATAGTTAGAACAATATTCTCCTGAATGTATGGTAGATTGAACATATAGTAAGCTTATCATTAGAAAAGCCATTAATAAATAGATGAAATATCGGAATACTTTCGTTCAAAAATTACAGCCACTTTTGTGACGGGGCTAACTTACATGGAAAAAACAAATTATTCAAATATTTTTAATTTTACATTTTTATAAATATGTATTACACGTATTTACTCATTTTTGAATACGTATTGATTCGGATTAAATAAATCTTTAAGCGAAAACAACGTTGTCAACTTTGTAATCGGTAGATTGTTCTCGATAATTTCCCATACAAATATAAAATAAGAATTGTTGAAACAGGATTTATTAATACTTGTATTAATAATATTAATAAACATTAGTAAATACATTGTGAAACTATAAAAATATAAATATAATACAGAAAAATATAGAACTCCAATAACATCACGTGCTGGCAGAATAGCTCGGACCGAACTCGATAACATTTATTGTTTCCAAAGAGAATTTTACGAAACTTTACACACTTCAACACTTGCTCTTGTTTGCGATATTTCAGTTAAACACCGTAAAATTGTAGGGCACGATAATGGCAGCACGGTAAATACATTTGCTACTTGTTTGTGTATCGATACGTAGATAACATAATTACTCACTTTTTGTTTTTGTCAGACATAATGAAAATACAATATGTTTATAGTTTATAGTGTAACATGTTTATAGTGCTCTTGGCTGTTCAGAGTATTTTGATATTGTTATTTCTACGTCATTATTAATTTAATTCGCTTATTTTAAACTATATATAAAATAAACTTAATAATAATCACAGCCAAATCTAAAACATAAGAAAACATAAGTCTATAACTTATTATAGACTTGTTGCAGCAGGAAAACATATCTGAAAATTGACGTATTCTTTCAATTGACCAATACAATCAGAATCACAATATCTAATTAATTTATTTGATGCTTCATCACCAAAACATAACGAAATGTCATTTGTCTTTTAAATATTTCAAACATTTTCAAATATTTTGAACATTTCACATTGCTGCTTTCGTGTGAATTATTTAAATACTTTGCGAGCGTACCTACCATAAATGAAATGTCAAATCCCGATACTGTTGCAATGTAATTTAAACATTCAATAGCTTTTTGATAAGGAAAACGATTTTCTTCTTTTATCCAGTAAATTCGCTTAATCGAGGGATTTGTTGATGACGTTAGAGTTTTATTATTTTCTAATCCAAAACGATATAACATAGATATAGACAAGACGATGTAACATAGATGTATCCAAAATGATGTAACGAAAGATGTATCCTTTTAGTAATCCTATTAATAGTAATCCTGATTCCTGATTTCGAGATATTTCCATGTCAACATAACGGAGGACAATATATGACGTTAGATTATGACTTATGATACGTGACATTTTGATGGTGTGAATTTGAAAGCGCTGTGCGAAATCTAGTCTACAACAATATAAAAGACTTGCAAAGATTTTCTTCATCAAGCTAATGCTAGATGAAATTACTATGGAATTCCTCCCCCCCCCCTCCGATTCTGGTGCTTTCTGTACATACTTTGTACACTCTGTTGTGTACATTCTACAGAAAAGTTCTAACAAGGGATGTTCTTTTACAAGTATTTCTCTAAAGACCAAGAAAATCTTCTTAAAACATGGCACGTCTAATTGCGTCTAATTGCACCTTTTTCTTTAATAATTATTGCTTCCCTTAGTTTTCGTTGAATTCAGGATAATATTTTGGATGCGACCATAGAATGTCTGTTGGCGATCAAAATATATATTCATATTTCGAACTATAACATCTGCATAATTTGATTACATAGTCAACAAAACTGTTGTCAAATGAAAAATCAGAAACGCAAGATCGTTCACTGACGACTTTGTGATAGATTTACAAGAAACTAAAAAACAAATTTATAAGAAAATAGAAGAAAATGTGAAAAAGAGATAACTTCAGCAAAATGCTAGATATGAAGAAGTCAACTTTGATTCACTGAAATCTTCGTGCGACGATAGAATCCATTACCACTCGTAGGAATATTCCAGAAGAATATCGGTAAGAATTGCTCAGATAAGTATAAGTATGCATACTTAATTTCTATATACATATTTAATTTCTTTTAGAATAAATTTCTTTTAGAACTTCTCTCTAACTTTCTTTCTTTCTCTCTGCCATATTTTCATATTGCTTGCTGATTTTTTTATCTTTAAACGTATAATATACTGTAATATTTATTTTAAAACATGACCAAAAAGACGTATACAAAATTTCAAAACCTTGATCCATAATAATTTAATAATTTTTTATTCAATTACTTAAAATTGACGACTTCAAATGAGAATGCTCCCTTAATTTGAAAGAACATTTTATTCCATCCTCACTAAATATTGATCAACTCTTAACAACATAATGCGAACAATATGTCTATTTGTAACAATACATCCATTCCGTTCAACAAGCAAAATTTAAAAACTTATATAAAAGATTTATATTAGGATGTATATTGCGCAGCTACGACGAAAGTGTATTTTCCAGGAACAAGTTTTCAAAAATAATTAGACATTATTTTGTTAATCGAAGAAAAGATACAAATCAAAATTTTTCATTTTCAATTTTATCAACACGCATTTATTCACAATGACGTATAAAATATATTTACACAGAAAATAGTGCAATAAACTACGTACAGTGTTGCAAAAAAACTACATACAATTAAACTACATACATGAATCAGGACCAGCGACATAACTGATCAAATTATAGTGATAACAGATTTCAAATTTGATATGATAGTTTTAGTTCAAAGTTTCTTATTATTAATGTTTTTAATGATAGTTCCACATATTTTAATTATTTAAAATAATTTTACACTTTTAATAGGAAAATATCTTTTTAATGTAGGAAAAAATTAGTATATCTATAGTAAGCTATTGTTTAATTTTAAACTATTGTTATCTAAAGTATGATTTATTTTCTTACATACTTTTATTAAAGTGATTTGATTTAATAAAAGACATTGATATCTATAGTTATTTATTATTATCTATTGAAATAGTTGATTAAGAAATATTGACATATAAAATTTCGATTTAATGTAATGTATATTCTATTAAATTCTATTTAAAAATTTAAACTTTATCTCGCGTTAAATAAATTAAAATTATAATATTTATTATAAGTATTATAATACAGAATATTTATTCAAAAAATTTCCATAAAATTTCTCTATAATTTCTTTATAAATGTTCTCTAATATTACTAATTGCACAGAATGAACTACATAATTTGATTTAATTAAAGGAACAATTATTTATGAAAATTTTATTCACAATGAATTTGAAATATTCCAAAATAAACTTATTCGAAAATTAAATAATGTTACTATTCCTTGTTACAAATAATCAAATTACATGGTTTATTCTACGTGATTCTTAATTATGAACAATAATTTTAATAGAAATGGTAAAAAATTAAGAATTATCAACTCACTAATGCCGCAGATAATGCCATCAACATCCCAGCCATAAAAGCTACAGAATACTCAAATGCAAATTGGGCAATTGTAATAAATTCATAAAGTGGAAAAATTGTTACATCAAAAGGAAACCTCATTTTAAGTAACAATTTCTTGTTATTTAGATTCAATTCTCCAATATCATCTCCAATATCATTTGACATCAACATGGTACTTGCTGAATATAAGATGCAAGTCATTGAATAAATGACTACCAAAAACTTGGAAATGCGAGAGCATATAACTAAATTACCCATCATAAACTCTTTATTTTGATGAGTAAGATCACAATTATTCCAATCTTCAAACACGAATATTAGAATATTGCGAAGTTTTCTGTATAAAGTAATTTTTACAATTATTATTATTCGAAAAAGTTAATTAAAACGTTAAAACATTTCCGTGTAAAAAATTAACGTATTGCTCAATAAATGTAATAACAAAACGTAGTAAGGATATTGAATCATATAATATAAAACGTGAAGATTAAACATATAAAACATAGGATACTTAATAAAAGTGATTAAGAAAAATTAACAATTTTCAACAATGAAACTGATAATACATAAAAATTTCATCTTTACATCGTCAAATAATGTATATTATTGAACAGTTAAAATTTATTTTCAGAGCCGAAAATAGTTATGACATATGTCTTACCGATAGTTAAACCAAAGAATGATCAACTTAATGAACGTAATTGTATTCGATAGAGTCACACTCAAACCATCTAATAGATCAGGTAAGTCTGCTGTTTTAAAATAAGAAATACAATACCAAATCTGGAATGTTACGCAGGTACCCATTACGACAGTCCAAAAAATGCGTTGCAAAATTCTATATGAGGAATTTGGCCAAAGACCTATCAAACGAAGACAAACTTCTATAGGATAGGTAATTATAGTTTTAAGCGCCATTGTAACTGTTATTTTTTCTTTTTTTTTTTTATTAATTCACATGCGAATTAGAACGAAGAAATTTTGACTTTTTTTTAAAACACTTTAACACAATATACATCTACATCATATCAAACGTAGATAAATATGCTACTGAACCACCTGCCTTATACGCATGAATGTTTCTATCTGAATGGCACTAGTTTTCGCAACATCTATAAGCAAATAACATTTTTGTTCATTATCTTTCGATCAATACCAATTATTTGTATACCATTATGTAGTACAATGGGCAGATTAAATTAAGTCGTATGCTAAAGCGTAGATTATCATTCAATCTCTCTTCCATATTTTTTTTCTATATTAACACAAACCAAAGGTTAGTATTTGATTAAACAGTACAGTTCCAATATACACATACGTTATACGATGTTTTTATGGCTTCTGAAAGGCTGAAAACTATTGAATAAAAATAATATTTCATATTAATATACCAACAAAACTTGCATAAAGTTTGTCAGTGACTAAATACCGTAATATATTGTGATTCATTTGTTCAATTTAATATATATTTAATATATATATTAATATTTATTAATTTTTATTAATTATATCATCCTTTATATTTTGATAAATATGTTTGTTTTTGTACAAGTGATAAAATGAATTGGAACTTCGAATTACTTAAAAAAATTAAATAAAAATAGATTAGCAATGGAAGAAAAACGTATAAATTGATTTCTTTAAACTTTAATTATTTTTCCTTAGAAAATTCTGATCTTTAGATACATTTTTAACCGACGTCATTTATGAGATTTTATTTTATTGGAAAAGTGATTTTATTGGATATTGCAAAAGTTCGTTTTAAACTCAATTTAAAAATGAAACACAAGCTTAAGATACATTTTAGAATAAAAAATTTTATTATTAATCACTGTAATCTTAGTTAGTCTCCATTGATGCACGCAATATTATCATCAATACCAAAAAACCCTTCAGAGTAAAGTCAATGATCTAGATTAAAATTCGAAATTTACGAAACTATTTATTTAAAGAGCAGACACACGGTCCAAAGAAACGTCTTAAATGTTTTTTGTTATGATTTTAACACATTCCTTTCCGAAACTTGTATAACATAACATGGCGAAAATATAATTTTTCATATAATTAGTGAAGGTTCTCCATATAAATTCCTTTCGTACAAAAAATCAACTTAATTCAACGCCTGATGTTAAAATGATTCATGATGGCATTTTTCGACAGCTATGTAACACCAATGTCGAATTGCGATAATGCTGCCATCACCTCTAAAAATCGGACACCAACTTTTGTAACATATAGAAAAATTATATGGATAGCAGATTTTCAAATTTGATTTTTTCAAAAACGAAACATCAAATCAAAGAATTTCATTCTATATTTTTTTATTATTTTTTCATTACGAATACCCCCTTGTACATGTCATTCCGAACCTGTAGAGAAAAAATATTACTTAGAATATAATCATTTTAAATGATCATAATTTCATTCATTTTAGTTCATTTAATAGAACATACAGTGCAATGTTAATTTAATTCTGTATAACAAAGTTGGACAAGCGATGATTAACGTTTAAATCTTTTCAATAATCTTTTAATGTATTAATGAATTTCAATATATATATTAATGAATTCCAACTTAAGTTGTGAATCATACATAACAATTAAATTCTTATTTTATTCGTTGATTATAATAAACAACTAAATATCTTTTAATCGTTTACGATTAAGGATCAAATTCTTATTTTAATTGTTAATTGTTATTAACGATTAAATTCCTTTCAGTTTTAATCATCAGTTGAATACCTCATTAACGATTAATTGCTGAAATTCTTTTTATACTAAAATTAGCGTTTTCTATATCTTCTTGTTCGCGGCTAAGGATCGAGACTTGCACTAACGTATGAGATGATAAAACCTCTGTGAGTACGTGAACAATAAAATTTTGAATATTAATACCTAATATAACAAAATGAAATTTTTTATTACTGCTTACTTATTTAATAAATTTTAAAGAAATTCAAAATAAGTTAATTGGGCTTGCAGATATATGTTATTCTATACCTCTTGACAGTATAACTCAAGAATATGTTTCATTTCAATTAAATATCTTAACCCTAAAGACCTCGACGCTCTATTACAATTTTAAAATATATCTTCAATGTAAGTGAAATTATAATCAAATTCGATGTAATAACTAATCAACGATTAATCATTAATTTTATTTATCGATTAAATAGATCGTCTATTTTTCGACGATTAATTTTATTAATCGTAAACATTAATCAGTCAATCAAACTAAAAATTTTAATCAATTAATGCCCAATTCTGGTATATAGTAAAAAATCTGTATATGTAGATTGCAGGTTCGAAATGCAAGCATTGAAACTGCCGCATCACCTATAACTATGAATCTGCAGGGATACAAGAAGGTATTATCTCTACGACAAAAAGCGCACGTGACTCCTTCCTCTAGCATGAAAATAATAAAAAAAATACCGGAAATCAGCAGAACCTTCTAATTGTAAGAGAGAAAACTACAGTCTGTTCGAACGAGACGAATCAGCAAAGCAGAACGTACGTATGTTAAGGACGACAGATGCAAGAAACTCCAGGTGTTGGATGGCAGATGTTGAATTCAGAGTACGTGGGAGGACGGATTATTATTTTTAAGAAATTCGTAATGAAAAATTGGCTTTAAACTCTTCTAATGTTGTGAAAAAAAAAAAAATGATACAAGAAATTTTGGTCCGAAAATCCCGTCTGAAAAGTTTAATAATATTGGAAGCTGTGAATACGTTCCTATCACGTTTATTTACCTTCGCTTCTGTAAATAACTCCGTCCTTGATATTTCTTCATAAAAGAAGGAAGTCTATAGACCAATAGGAAAGTTTGTCAGACTCGAAATTAAGATCTCTAATCAAAAAGATCCGACGGAATTTAAAAAGGACAGTACTGCTGCTGGATGAACTCCTAACTGACAAACGAATACCACTTATCCATATTAAACAGAGAAGAAAAAAAGATAGGTCTTCTGATTCTATCGAAAAGAAAGAAGAAAAATAAAAGAAAAAATAAAATATTTCGTCAATCTCTCTACTTGAGATCTTACTGAATCAACTGAGAATTGAATGAATCCTCAGATTCACTCAAGGATACTTGAAGGAAACATTTTGAATTCGATTTAGTTTGATTCAACTTGTTTCAATTTAATTTAATTTCGCTTAATTTGATTTGATTTTAATTTAATAGTTTAATTTAATTTAATTTCGTTTTATTATTGCGTTTTGTATTTTGAGTTAGTAAATAGGGATTTGGATTTAATTCAAAATTTTTTTTGAAAGTTTAAGTACATTACTATCGTGATGGATCGTTTCATACTTTGGTTTCATTACATATTCGTATAAACCTACTTATTGATCTCAACAAATAATATTTTTATAATCTCTTAATATTACGATATTTACTTAACGCGTTTTATATTTTTCGAATTAGGAAATTTAATTATATCATTAATTGTTGCATTATGTAATTATATCATTATATCAATGAGTTGCTTTAAAGTATTTTCATTGCGTGCTTATATATACAGGATGGTTCATTTAAGTGAGGCCACCTAAATATAGGCTTCGAATTCTTATAATACAAAAAATATTTTTTGCCTATCGCGAATGGTATAAAAAGACCTATAACTGATAAGAATTTTTTTTAAGGTCATTTTTTTCAAGGACTTTTTAATATCAAAGAATTTTTTTTAAGATCATTAATGTTTTTTTCCTGATATAAGTATATTTTTTTTATCGCATCGTGTAACTGGTAAAAAAGTACGTTCAGATATGTGAAGAATATGAAATTACATTGATATCGAAAAATTTAAATTTTACGTATTAAATTTATTTCTATCAAGATCACTGATCTCAGCTATAAAATCGTATTAAAATATCCTAGAAAATTTAATCATACAATGTTTAAGGTAGTATTTATTTTTCTTTTATTATCGTCGCAGTAGATGTTCAAAGTGCACAATGATACACTATATGAAACGAATTACAAGCGATCGTAATAATCTTTCGATTGTTTTCGAATCAATAGCAGCAATAGCTATTCGATTTCTCATATCCTCGGGTACAGTTGGACGTTCGTTGTAAACTGTTTGTTTCATTTTTACATACATAATGCATGAGCATTTCTAGTTCATCTTGCAAGAATGTTGCATACTTTTTTCCGTTTGAACTATTGTTTATGAAATACAGATCAATTATTTGATTATTCAAGATGTTGCATCATACATTTACTCTCCAAGTTTTTTGTTTCTCTTAACTAATTTCAACTAGTGTGGATTCTCGGTTGACCAGTAATGCATGTTTCTCAGATTAAATTACTACGATTAGTGAAAGACACTTTGTCAGTAAATAACACTTTTTTAAAGAATGATTCTCGATCACTTTCACAAACCGAGAAAAATGCATATGATTTACAAAATCTGTTCCACGAAGATCTCGATGTAAAAATAAATGATACGGGTGAAATTTTTCTTCTTTTAATATCCGTATTATACTAGTTTTAGAAATGCAACTCTCACATACAAATTGTCTTGGACTCACATGTGGATTTTGATTAACTTTAGCTACAATAATTCCTTTATTTCTAGTAATTTCGATAGAGATAAATTTATAACTTAAATTTTCGATATCAATGTCATTTCAGGATCATGTTCTTTACATATCTAACGTACTTTTTTATCAGTCACGATGTAAAAAAATATAGTTGTATGAGGAAGAAACATCAATGACCTTGAAAAATTCTTGAAAAAGTAATCTTAAAAAAAAAAAATTCTTGCCTTTTAGTTATAGGTCCTTTCAATACCATTCACGATAGGTAAAAAATATTTTTCATATCATCACAATTCGAAAAGATTTAGATGTTAAGGCCAGCACCTATTGTAATTTGTGGCACGGACAGGATTTAAACCGTTTTTAAAA